GGGGGGTCTGATAGATACTGTATGATGAATCAACGGTTTCCGCGAGACGCCTTGTCACGAGCGGCCTTGGTGTAATTGCGCGGGACAAACGATGAGTGGTTTTTACCTAGCTTCCGTGATTGATCTCACTAAATCTTTCACGCGGTCATTTTTGTATTGTCGGCTTTATAGACCGCTTCCTGGGTCTTGACGTGTTTGTTAGTCGTTGCTTCATAGCGACGAAAAAGGTCATGGAGACAAGGAGAAGTAGGGTGGTAACATCATGACTTGTCTCTATGAATATTCATGATACTATAATATTATACTCGCGGATTTGCGTGTTGCTCGGATAACGATGTTGCTTTTTTTTGGACAATGATGATGACTACCGCGGAAAACTTCACACGACGTGTCATCCATGATAATGTGCATAAAACGAAACTAGGTGTTGCTCTGGCAATAAAACACTTAATTATTAGAGTTGAATGCTCCAGCTTTTTCTTCAGAATTAATGCTTTTCTCTCTCAGAGTTTGTGCTGTTCGGTGATGCTAATAGCGACAAAAGTTTTCTCTAACTCGTCGTACTTTTCGTGATGGTGTTGATGGTTGAGAAGACGGTGACGACGACAACGACGACGGCGACGACGATGATGATGATGAAGATGATGATGATGAAGATGATGATGATGATGATGATGATGATGATGATGATGATGATGATGATGATGATGATGATGATAATGATGATGATGATGATGATTTTTTATTACGTGGAACAGAATCCATAATGCTACAAAGCTTCAAATGCTCAAGTCTCCAACATCTTTTTGGGTTTTTTTTCTTTTGTTACTTACAACAAGAACAACAACGATGACAATGATGATGATGATGATGATGATGATGATGATGATGATGATGATGATGATGATGATGATGATGATGATGATGATGATGAAACGGATGTCTTTGGAACGATCTCTTTGTGAGAGCATTCTATAGATCTAGTTTAAAAATTGAGCTTTCTATTTTCAGCAGGACCGGTGGCAAAGTTTGTTAGAAGAAAAAAAAAAAAGAAAAGAAAGGCTTCGGTCAGCTGTTGACTTGTTGAGACTTAACCCAAAATTTGGGTTTTTTAAAATCTTCTTTTTAAAATCTTTTTTTTTTTTAAATGTTGGTGTCATAGTTTTATTAATCTGTGATATCGGCTGCATGCTCTAGAGAAGGATTTGGTCGAAATCCAATTTCAAAATGCTGAAAAAAGCAAGAGAATGTGTATAATTAAGGTACAATTCTGGAAGAATAGAATAGTAAAGCCTTTATTTTCTCCCCAAAAAGACAAGATGATGTTTTCGGTGCTTAACCCTATCCGTACGTCGTGTTTTACTATCGTATAGATACGACGTGGGGAACTCTGTGCCACCACTTTCTAAAGAGGAAATTTACTCGTTAAACCGATCCGTACGCTTTGCACAGCAGTCTGTTCAAACGATTTTTTAAAGAAATATTGAAAGTTTCAAAAAGATCTTTACTAGAAGTATTCTAAAATGTGAAGAATACAACCCCGGGGTACAAAATGACCCCAGGGCGTACGGGTAGGGTTAAAGAACTGTTGAACGGCTTGCCAACAGACTCAGGAGGGTGTAGTTGTTCCCAGTCAGTCTCCTATTGTCGCTAGGCGTGACATGTTTATGTCTCCTCCCTCGCATACATTACGGCTAAGTCTAGGAGACAGAAGCCATTCTGCTCCAGTCAGCACAAACATAGACACACACACACACACACACACACACACACACACACACACACA